ATTTGGGCGGAATGTTAAAAAAAGTGGTAGGGCCAGCTTTACCCATGGCCTCAGTAAGTTTCAAGAGAATTCCACGAGAAAGATAATCACATCGGAATTTACGTCAATGCACATAAACAGACGTACACGAAAGGTTCGCATCCCAAATTGAATCAATTGCGTGGTCCCAATAAATCTCTTTATACTTCTTCAAAATGCTCCTCCACCCTTCCTTCATGATGGATTCAATGTCCCTCTTTCGATAGCCGACGAATTCATCACAGAACCTCTCTGCCCTATGACCCGAGCTATTGGTCCCAAAAACCTTGGACCAGTTGTGATATAATCTTCCTTTCTACTTGCCTATGATGACGGATTTTGAGTGTCAGCTCCTGTTAATTTTCGTCTTATCTTTCGAATCCTTCCTCATTCTCGTCCATTTCGAGACATCAAACTTCTATATATTTTTTTCCTGAATTTTCATAAAGTCCTAGTTACATTTTACTTCATTTCTAACTTACCTTAGTATATGTTCCAAACTGTTATGTTAAAATAGTTTGTTGCCCCCGAATCTTCAAGGAACCACATTGAAAGTTTAGACGGTCCACTTAAAAGAACTCTATCTTCCACATCCTTGTTTGAGTAGGACTACTATGTAGTAACGAATATTGTAACAATTTTCCCATGTTGGCTAGGATCTGTTATATTGAATCATGACTGTTTTGCTTGTATTCCTAAATTGCTACTGAGTTCGTAGCCATAAAGTAATATTTAGTAAAAAGAAACGCGTTAAATCTGGAGGTTCTATTTGATGCTCCCACGCATCAACTTGCTTGTCTCAAGGGATCAACGTTGCCTGATAATGAGAATAATTAAGTCTCAGGAGAAGAGTTGTATTCGTATACGGGGGTGTAAACAAACGTCAACAACATTCATTTCAAGAATTTCGAAAACCCTTCCTATTAACTCCATTTCTCACTTCAGCGACGGCGTGTGAATTTTGAAGAATCAAAAAATTTTCCTCTAACAATTTATTCGATTTTTCTAAGTAGATGAATAATACTATTACGTATTACTTTACTTCGTTATACTAAGTAGGTGTGGTACTGCTTATCGAAGTCCAGTGTCTATGCGTTTCACTGGGAAGCCCTTCTCTATGGAGAGCAGGTGTTCACATTCACAAAGGTGTACGGCTCGTCACGGGGCAACTGCACTGGCATAATGGTCTGAGAGTTTTTCCCCTCAGGACCATCAATCTTTTCTTTCAACTCATTTTTAGGCTTCACTGAGTGTTTATATTCTCTTGATCCTCTCTGTCAGCCAGCTGTCCCTCGGCAACTCGCCGCTAACCCCTTGGGCGACAACACAACCACCGCTGGCACCTCTTGCCGTCTAGGCAAGTTTTCTCAGCGTTTCTCACCTACTGCAAAACATTACTTTTTAGGGATTCCCGTCTTTACTGCTACTAGTTCTTACTTTTGTCTGTGAACTATCATTACCTGTCAAATTTGTTAACCCTTCACGTTATTTTCGGTTTTACCGCAGTAGAGTTAATGAGTATGCTGAAATGTGCAAGGAATTGTAAAATTTTTGAAAAACGCCCGTATTACTCACCGCTCCGTGGTTGTTTCCTTCTCAAAGCATCCCCGATAAACAGTTTTGCGGTTACAAAGTAGTAATTACCGTTTGTTTTACAATACTTATCGTAGCAGTAAGTTACACAACTAATTCCTATTGTTCACGTCTCTCATTATTATTCGCTGAATGCCTGCATCTCATCTTTGCTTTGGATTCTTCTATGAATCATTTATTCAGGACATTATCTGCCATTTCATGTTTCGCACCTATGAACACGGTTGTAAACAGTACAAACCGACTCTTCGAGTAAGTTTGATATTCCCTGTGGAAAAGATATTCATCGATTTTTTCGAAACCCCACTCGGAAATTTTTTTTAACTGAGATTCCTCAGTAAGTATCGCTGAAACTCACTCTTTTACTCGTTTTATATAAATTTCTGTGCTATTTTTAGTCATTCAGTGATCTTTGATTCTGCTTGGTTAAGGGGGCTTTGATTTTGGTTGGTAAAGTTACTAGTCTGCATTGTACTTGTCAAATAATTTCTGGGGGTTGAGCTATATGACGAGGGCGAGAATATCTGGTAATAAAAAGCTGTAAAACTGTGCTATAAAGGTACTCTTGCTTACCTTACACCTTGCCCATGAAATTTTACAACCTCCCTCTTGATTCAGGCAAAGGCCAAGTCGAAGGGGCGGCTTCGTAGAGCTTTTCTTCGTCGAAACTCTCCCTCAACAATCAAAACCGAAACTAATGACAAATCGATTCGGGGCAATTATTCATTTGGATGAATTCGACAAATGAATTCGTCTGCATCTGTTGTGCAAAAGCCTATCGAAAAATAACTGCTTTTTTGTCTAGTAATTCATCAACCCGAGGTTTTACAGTGGTGGACTGAGTCACATGGCGCCTGCATTCATTTCGGCGTCTGACTCTGGCCGCCACTGCATCCCATTTCTTTTGATTTTTCGTGTCTGGATAAAAATCAAAAGGATTTTTTAGCGGATGAGCCAGCATTCTAGGCCAGTCGCTTATGATGGCACCAAAGTACGCTTTGTTTACGACATACACAATTATCATATGCTATCATTACCAAGTAGTATTTGTTCACTAGTTTGTAAAGTTAATTGATACCACTTACCAATTTTTTATTCAACTCATCATTATTATTACTATATTCTTATTATTTTTATTATACTATTATCGTTTAACTTTCAATTTTATCATTTATTTTTCATTTCACACTACTAAAATTCATTAAAATCTTTTCTCGTTGCACCATTCTTCCACCAAAATTTAGTAAACTATTTTTGAGAAGAAAACGCGTCAGCTCGATGTGAGAGAATCGTTTTTATGCATATTTATTAATCTCTTATTATTGTTATTATTATCGTTTTTCTATTATTTTTTGGATGCTTTGTTTTTTTTTATGAGAAAAAGGTTATTTTTCCAATTTTTTGACGCATTTAGCATCTCAAGAGCTCCATTATCAAACCAGCTCGGGAAAATTTTCCAAAATTGCAAAGATAATTACAAAACAACATTGTTCCATAACTATCAACATATCATTACTAATTAGTATTTTGAAATGAAAGTAATGTTTTTCTTTCAGCTCGTCTGTTCTGCGTTGTCCTTTACGATTTGCATATGCGAATTCGCCTTAGCCATTTATGAATACTCCTACTCTAGAGGAGGAAATCTAAGTGGAGCAATATTTACATGTACTATTTAATTTTATTGTAGTATGTAAATAATACCTTTATTATCAAAAAGATAATTTTCAGGTGTATTTTCCATTCACGGGTGCATTACATTGTTGTATTTTGTGGGTATTATCAAACGGAATCCTTGCCTTCTTGTGCCTTTTCTAACTTTACAAGTAAGTCAGGTTTTTTTTTTGAAAACTAGTTTTTTGAATTGAGTTCCCATGTAACTCGTACTCTAGGAGGTAAGCCTGTTGGTAGTGGTAAGTGCACTGCTTTCCAAAATTTTTACTTACCGTAGTTTTTTACTTAACGATAAACCACATTTTACAAATCGAACTTCATTTATTCTCTTTTTTTAAGTGTTTCCCCTCGTTTATAATGTCTCTTCGTTTCAGCCTTGCTTTTTTTTTATCATTCTGTCATCATATTCTCACGTTCTTTTCCCAAAAAAACCTATAGTATACTGCGGAGATTTTCAATCAATCGATAATGGCCTTCAATCAGCCCTTCGTCTGGATTTATTCCTGAAACTAGTAAAGTTAAGAAAGCTGAGTCTCAGATAAAGCGGACCTTGGCTCACTCCAAAGAATGAGCAACTAAGTTTATGTTAATCTCAGTCAAGACTACCTGATAACATGAAAGTGCCTCGCCTCCCAAAAAAAAGGTTCTCTGAATTAATCGCGAAATGTAGGCAGAAGAAGACTTATCTAATACCCTAATGCCTGTCAGGCTTCTTCAAAAACTTAGTAGACATCATCATAATGCTTTAAGCCCTGATGAGCATTAGTAAGGGCAGAGCCCATTAGACCCTAGAACCTCCATCATTGGTCGATTATGACGTGTAGCTCGGGAACCTGCCAATGAGAAACGTGCCATGGCACGCTAGGCTCCACCACCGATTTGCATAGTGTTGAGCGTACTTTGAAAGCAATTACAATGAGAGCTGCAGCTTGCCCAAAACCTCGTAAAACGGCTTAGACAGGTTGTCATGGATATTTCCAACATTGTTACAGCGTATAGAGTTGGCGCAGTTTAGCTCCTGAGCCAAAATTTTATGTCAAAAGCCCATCTCGCATGATATTTCACTAATAGGTGAT